CCCCCCCCCCCTCCGTGGGTTCAACTCCCCCCTCGGACGCCTCTGGGACACCTCTCGGGCATCTCTTATGGCATCCACTTTGGCTTAACTCCTCCGGGATACGGTGCAACAGATTCAACAAGCTCACATGTTCATGACATCGACATCGATAGAAGAAACCAAACAAATCATGCAAGCAGCTTTGTTTTGCCTCTGGGACACCTCTTGGGCACCTCTTATGGCATGACTGGTTCAACTCCTCCGTGGAGGTTTTGGGATACGGTGCAACAGATTCAACAAGCTCACAGGTTCGTGAACACATCGGATGCATCGAACAGTGTGGCAAAGTCCAGCCACGCTTCCTTAATTGTCGGGGACTTCAATTCGAAGGTTGGCTGTGTCATTGCTGTTTGTGTGTCTTACATGTTCACAACGTTTTACCTCATGAGCATTTGCCTCACTCCGCTTGATGTCCCACCAGTCCGGATGCACCCCTGCTAGCTTTCGTCACCTACCCTCGGCCTCAAGTACCCACATTGTGTGTTTGTTTGTTTGTTTGTTTTTCCACCGCTCTCTCTCTCTCTCTCTCTAGTTGCATCATTTTGTTCATTACAGATTTGTTTGCCATATTTTGCCATTTCAGACTCCCGCCCAGTGACCGTAATGACCTGAAATTCATGGGAACGTGAACCCCCTTCGACCATGTACTGAAACTGTTATCCATTTAGGGGAGGCCTCTTTGTTTGGAAGGAAATGCACCGTATTTCAGACCAGGACCCACCAGCATGAGTACTTTTGGAGGCTAACAACTGGTTTCTGGGTACAGAAGTTAAGGTATCACACGCGAGGGTTTTTGGGGATGATTCACCACACCATCGATGCTTCAGAAACACCGAAACTTGGGGACGATTAATTTCCGGAACTTCTGGTCGTTTTGGTGTTAGGTTCTTTTGCATGGCGGACTCATCAAGCTCCCCAAGATCACCAAGCAAAGATCCTCTTCCGGAACACACCAAACAAAAAAAGGCTCCGTTGGACGTTTTTGTTGTGCGTTTTGTTCAGACCGACCACTCCAAGCTCTTTGCAAGTACACGTCGTGGACAGCGGTGGCCTCAAAGACTTGACGTCGTGGGCTCGATGACTTGACGTGGTGGTGTGAAACCATGTGAAACCGCTCGGCACGGACAGCGCCATGCAGAAGGGATCCATTTCTTGGAACATCAAGGGATCCCTGTGTCCCTTCTTCAAATTAGCTGTATAATTCCTTAAGATGCTTGCGAGATCAAAGGAACTCTCCTGACGCCGAAATGGCAGCAGTTCTTCCTGGAAAATAATACTTTTTGATCAAGCGTCTATTGAAGATGCCCCGGTTGATTCGATGTAGGGCAGAATGGCTCTTAACTCTTGATTTGTGTGGATGCTTCAATTTTGCTAACCCCAAAAACATGACCATACATGACATGGAACCAAAGGGTACTTGGGAATGTGATTTGTAAGCATCGATAAACAGTCTTTTAGTTGCTCCTCAAGATTCACAACTGCTTCCTATTTGCAAGCAACCTTCACGAGTGTTTGCTTTAGGATAGACGGTTTGCTCTCTCTATAGTAGCTTCTAGCTAGTAGCGATGGCCTCCAACCTACTAGCAATGGCCTCCACCCATCGACCCTTCTAGCTACTATCGACCCCCTCCGCGACGGTCCGGCGTCTTCGCTCGGGTTCGGCGTCTTCGCTCGGGTTCTGAGGCCATGGGCTCCTAGTGGCCGTGGAGCTATTTCACATTTGCGTCCCAGGCGATGAAAAGCCCGAGGTGTCCATGAAAACGACCCCAAACTACTGGGGGCTCTGGTCGAAATGAGACTTATAAGGCGAGTGATATATTGAAGTGGATCGACCAAAAACTCTACTTACACCGCTCGGAAATGGCAAATGGGGAAAAGTCGTCAACCCGTGTTTTCCACGAATCCTAGGTCGCTGGCCTTTCCCCTAGAGGGATGAACACCAGTATCACCAAAGCGAAACATGCGAAAACCAACCAAAAATTATTAGATGAGTGCAAGGTCAATTAGATGTAGGTTCTGGAGATGAACACCTGTCATGACTTACACCTACTGTCACATAATTATGTGAGCATGTTTTGAATGAGAGGATTGACTTGCAGCAGGGAGTCAATTTTGCGGTTTGTCCCAACCGAGGTAGAAATCATTGGGTCATTGGGTCAATTCTTCTGGTCAAGGGAGGTCACTGGGCGCAAGCATCAACGTCTCGCCTTTTTTGGGTTGGATGAACATCACCGAGCTTTAAGGGGTTTAGCCGGCATCTCCCATCTCCCCACCTGGGATCGCTGGTTCAACTCTTCCGCCACCGGTTCGACCAGGTCAGAAAAACCGGAACCACCGATGCTCCTTCTCAAACCAAGCTTCTAAAACCGGCCAGGTCCCGATGGCAAGCGCGGCCACTTCATTGGCATCTCCGAGGCGGGTTGCGGGGGGGGGGGTTCGCGCGTCTCGTTTTTTTCGGAGCCCAACTGCGGCGCCGAGTGAAGGATTGAATCTATTTGGGGGGTCAAGGTCAAGGCACTGAGGAGCTTCGATTTGGTTCACCGCCCCAGGCACCCACAGCGATCCCTTTTTTGGGGATTGAGGCGTCCGAGTGCCGCTGTTTGGGACTTGTCCTGTGAAACACCCACATGGGCAAAAACCTTGGTTCAGCCAAAGCAGAATGTGCCAGTGGAGGGATGGTCCATGAGATACTTGGGTAGAAACGCTGGCGGGCATTTTGTAGGCTTTAGACGTCTTAGACCACGTGTCCGACAGTGACTCTGGCATTTGGCGGTACGCTGCAGCGAGCTGATCATGAAGATGCAATAGGTAGGGGCGCCCTTGGGCTCCAAAACAGCACAGCTCGGGATGCAGAGCACACTTCCATTTTGCACAGTTCGCTGCGAAACAACATGAAGACCGGATACTTGAAGACTAGACATTGAGCCACGCAAGGGAAGGGCAACAACATGTACGTATACAGTGTAGCTGCTACTTCCAGATACACACGACACTACACAACGTTTATACATAGTGTGCTATATCTTTGCAATTAGATACGTTTCTAGTTTTGGTTACCAGCGGTCTTTTCGATTGCCGCACAGGAGTTTGGTCGTTTGTTCAGGGGTTGTTCGTACTTTTGACATTGTTCTACAGAAGCCGCGTGCCACGATCAGGCTGAGAATGCCATGTCTTCCCAAGCATCACAGTCGGACTCCGGCTCTGGGTGCGTGGGCACAGAAGCGATGTGCGTGTCGGAAGAAGGCCAGGGGTTCCAGGTGGCTGTGGTGAAGATAAATAGGAGATGTGAGCTGGGAGTTCTTTCTGTTTTTGGAAATCCACTACATTTGGTTGGGAGGGAACTGATTTTCAAGTGATCAATGGCAGAACCCACCTCTCAGTAAGTGGCTCCTTCATCGTGATGTTACAGTCAATCTCTCACTGGGCTGCGCTGCGCCCGGACTGATGAGCCAGCCTGTGAAAGAGACGGAAAGAACTGACATCCTTTGGTCAATTGGAAAACAGCTGGTGACGAGGTAGCCGGAGATACCTGGACCCCTGTGGGTAAAAAACACTGCGGTCCCAGGAGAATGAAGAGGGAAAGGTTCTGTGGAGAACGTTCGAAGGCTTTGAATGTGGAGGAAAGCCTGCAGAGGTAATGATAGGCTTTCCATGGCTTTCCGTTTCTTTGTGTCGAGCCATTCTATTCCAGAGATTCGTCCCACACTCGGCCCAAATGCTTGAACATCTTCCAAGTTGAACCGATCAGGTGTCCTTCTTCAAGTGGGTTTGGGAATTGAACAATGACATTTGTAGGGCCTTCGATGGTACATCATGTCTCACTACCAGCTTCTTCAGTACCTTTGCATCCTTCCAATTCTAATCAAAGTGGGTAGTTATACCACGTTATACCTATAGACATCTATAGACCATATACAACTGTAAACTGGAGGTCAAGTCCCACCTGTAGGATCGTTTGGAACCCTCTTCGACCGAGGCAAAGCAGTCATCACATGCAGCCGAACCTCAATCAACTGTATCAGTCGCAGAATTCCTTGCAGGACGGAGGGTAGGGGCAGGGCAGTGCAGGGCAGCGCGGGCACCGGACATTTCAGAGGGGAAAGGAGCCAGAACAGATCTCTGGAGCCGACAGTTGTTGCTCATTCAACCACCGGTTACGGAGATTCTGTATTTGAGGTGCTTTTCTGAGACAGCCACCTTGCTGGATTGAATTCTGCCTTGTCGACGCGCCATCCCGAGGAGATTTTTGCCTTTAAACCTGCCAGTTACCAGGCCGCCGGTGCTTTGTCCGCCCTCGCGCTTTCTGGGTAGCTCCTCAAGAGCTGGGTTCAGGGATGGTTGGCATTTTCCCTCCACCAATGGTGTTGTGCAATGTTTTTGCACTTGTTCGTTCGACGGTAGAGTAGTACAGCAGGGACCATAGTGGCATAGGTTTGGAGTGGTTTGGACGAGTTTTGAGGTTTTTGATCCGACAAGAACAGCAGCTGTTACTGTATGCTGCAGGGAGGTCAATTGGCTGATTTTATCTATATTTTTGCATTTTCTGGTTTTAGGTGAATAGGTGGCTGACATTTGCAAGCTGCTTGCGGGTCAAAAGGTTAATTCAGGTGAAAGGTGGGGTGGCCTGATGTGTTTCTTCAGCAGCAAAGTTTGCCTGGGCACCATCTACAGATACCTTGAGAATATTGCCTCGATTCAGTTGCATTTCAAAGCTTGAAACTGATCGAAACGTCGCCGTAAGGACAGACAGGTCGTGTAGACATAGCAATATCGGTTTGTTAGTAAAGTACTCAGAAAAAAAAGGTTTGGTCGCCCCAGAGGAAGGAGCATACAGCGATGGAGTTTAGTAACGTGGTAAACAAAACAAAAAGACTATATATGTTGCAACTCAGATGTCTTCAAGAACACTGAAAGCCGACGTCTACCTACTTGGTATCCATGTGTATCCATGCATACCATTGCTGGAAGCCAAGCAAGCTGTCAGTGAGAGCATCAGGGAGGAATTGGAAGTGATAAAAAGGATTGACGGGACATATGATACGTGGTTCAGGTGCATAATTCGAGAAGCAAACGTTTAAGGAAGCTTGAGCTACAGCCTAAAATTGAACCCCCCTATAGAGTTTTGCTAATATTTTGAGAATCCCACATGGACACGCAATCCCGGTAAGTTTAAGATATATAACATCCACATGGACATGCAATCCCGGTGGATTCAGTGAAGACTTGAGAAGCAGTTAATGTGGAGGAGATGGATCACTGGATGGATCACTTGTATCGGGGCTCGCCCTGGGCCCGGCATAGAGGTTGTGACTTTCGCCCTGGGCAGGCCCAGAGCGAATCCTCCAAGGGTCCTGATGCACAAGGAGCCGAGCGGCGGTTCGGTGGATCCATTTGGGCGGGAAAAAGAACACACTTCCTCAGTCCGCACATGAAGAACTGCCACCTCGGATTGAGTCATGAAGAACTGTTGGTCCCCTCAGGTGAATAAAATACCGATCCATTTCAATCCAAGTAATTGGTGTTTTAACCATCCTAAAAGTGTTAAAGTGCTTGTTTGTTTGGGGAGAGTTCCAACACTACGACACTCATGAACGTGGAACATCTCTCAACCCGTCATTTGACAAGAACGCATTCGACCATGTACCCTCAACATCAACCGCATCCACAGTCCCAACCCATCAATCAAGCCTAGTTTGGCTAGTTTGGTGTCAACCTGTATCAATTGCCAAATGCAAGAGAGCCGAACTCGAGATCCAGCAAACAGACCTCACCAGCGGGGATAGCACATTGTGGCCCGCCATGAAACACTTGGCCCGCCGAACGCCATGAAACACGACCCGGAAGACTTCTTCTTTCTTCACTGCTTGAGGGGGTAGTATATCAAGTGTTCCTGCCTGGGTACTCCTGGACACTCTTGATCCCGACTGGAAGGGTCATCCTCCGCAGCAGCTTGCTTCTGAGACATTTGCACCGTTATGCCCCGTTGATTGTCGGCTTCCAAGCTTTTTGAATCTTTTTGATGTGCTTTGTGATTTGAATGCACCGGTCCTGGTCACGTGAGAACACTAGAACGACTAGGACGAATACCAACACTGTGACATACTCTAGGACCTAGGGCGAATACCAATACTCTAGGATGAATACTCTATATTCTTCGTTCACAGAGAACACCCCAGGACCAATACACATGTTCCACTTCAGTGGACAACGTTTTGACTCAACAGGGTTGATCCTTGCATACCCTGCGGAGTGTGGGGCACCCGGACACGCAATGCCCACAGCCTAAGTATTGAATCGATGGACTACTGGATAGTGCCACATATTGAGAGTTTCAAAGAATCTCCGCAGCAAATCCTGGGCATACAGACAACATCTCCTTGACATACACAAATGGTATGCACGCCCCAGTTCTTCACATGTCCCAAACCTTTGATGGCATCAAAGGCCAAAAACTACGTCCATATTTTGAGTTGTTTTGATCATGGGGCCGTCCACCTGTCCGACCAGACCTCCTCCCATGCTCCACAAAGACTCCCAAGTGAACACATGGAAGTGGATGGCACCACCTGTTTGCTACGAGGGGGCCCATGGATCCACTAAGCCCACGAAGCCGGGATCCAGGACAACGACCGTACCTCAGAAGGTATGACTGGACAACGACCGTACCCTCCAAACCTATGAATACCAGTGTCCCATCGTACCGAAAGAGGCTGCCCATTGGATGGACAATCCACCGTACCCAGCGCCTCTAAAGCGGGCGCGCGGGCGCGCGAGACCGCGGTGACCGCGCTTTTTCTTCAGGCAGCAGCGACGCCGTCTCAGTGGTGAGCTCCTCCTCGGAGTCCTCGGTGACCTCGGCCAACGGCCTCGTGGGGAAGCTCCGCGCCTGTCCCGAGCCGCTGGGGTGCAGGGCGAGCCGGCGCGGCGCGAGACGGCTCGGCCCTGGGCGGCGCGAGTGGGGCGGTGGCGAGAGACTTGAGCGAAGAGATTTGGGAAGGATGAAGCATCATGAGTCCGGCACGACAGCATCATGAATATTTCAGAGCCATGATCCCTCGTTTTGATGTGTGCAGCCGAGCATGGTTTCTTGGTGCCTTGATGGCATAAATCAAGAAGTGGATCAAACACTGTCAACGAACGACTACTTCAAAGGTCAGCCAAAGGTTTGCGTTTCTCATCTGGAAAATCCCGGTCATCTCGTGTCCAGAGGCCTAGGCGAAGCGAATCCGGAGTCCGAATGCTTCTTGGGATCGGAAGGAACCCGTGCCACGGAACAAGACGGTCATCGGCGAAGGCACATGGCACAATAGATCCCAATTGTGGAATTCAGAGTTGGCATATTGCTTGATTTCAACCTGGGGGAACCCCCATGGCTAGACCATGTCACCGGGATACAATGAGATTTTATTTAATACATGTCATGGTATGTCTCTTTGGACCTTTTTTTTCTCATGCCATATCATTATATCATTTCCTATATCTCAGTATAGGCACACTTTCAGTTCAATGCTGCAATAGAAACACCCCCATATAGGCTGCTTCCAAACACCCAATCCGAGGATTGAGTGGGGAGAGATCGTGGTGGACGCCTTTTGCGATCGATTGAGTATACTGGAGGCCTGGGATGTGGATGCCTTGTCTCGGACGGATGTCCTTTGCGGGACGGAGGTCATAGGGCAACGTTGGGGCGTTGGGGCGCGGCAGAGTTTGGGCCTTGAAACAACTTGAGATCTATGGATCTATCGATCTGTGCACGCCCATGATTGCTTCTTAGAAGTGTTGTTTGCTCATTTCCCCGCTACGGCTCGGACTGGAATTCCAGTGGAGGAGTTTCCATCTCCGGAGTGCAATGCTTAGGGTGTGGAGGGGGACGGTAGTATTGCAGCTTTCCTGTGATTGGAGCTCCAAACAGCCCTGGATCCCTCAACACCTAGAGATGTGAGACCGCAGACCCCTCCACTTCGTAGGACAGATCCCTCACTGTTTGGGTACCAGATATTTGAACCACTTGTACCAACGTGGCACTTGCGCCTTTAGATGTGTCTCCAATCCAAAAAGACACAAAGCTTGCATAGTCTGCACCCCTCTTCAGTCCACCAACCCGGATCCATCTTTGAGGCGCACTTCCGCTTCAACAAGGCACAAAGTGTGGAGGACTCTCCGGCGCCGTCCTTGCTGGAATGGGTTTGGCCTTCCACCAGACAAAAGCTGCATGCGGCCATGTCGCATGGGGTCACTCGGCGGATGGTCGAACGATGGAGCCATCGAACGGAGCGAAGAAGGCGCCAAAAGAGAGGACCCGAGCCATTTGGTTTTTGTGACCGAAATCGTCAGAATGGTGGTCCAAGCTGTCGACATGTGTTCGTTCTATTTCTGTCTACCAGTCACCCAGGGTTTCCAGTTCGATTCTGCAATGAGGCTGAGGACTTGAAGCAAGCTCATAATTGGAACGACTCTTAAAGTCTCTACCAGATGTGGCTCCGCAAGCTGAGGTGAATTTGCTCTTCGCGCCCCCGAGCGCCAACGTGACGCTTCTGGAGAGGAGGCGGCTGCTGTGTGATGTAGAAGAGACGCCAGGCGATAGAAGGCTCCGGCTCCAAAAAATCCAACCAAAAAAAATCTGTGGAACAAAGAAGCAGACCAAGGCTTCCAGTCAAAGGTCATGTCTTCTATTCAGAGAACTTCGACCTCTTTGTTTTTTTCTTTGGTTTAGCCCGTGCCTACGGCGACGTTCGTTCCTAGACGCTACGTAGGTAACTGGACGCTACGTAGGACAGCTCGTTTTCGCTCGCAGGAAACAAAGCTTGTTCCTTCAGAGCGAGACCTTGGACGGGGACGTTTTTGGGATATTGCACATTGCAGCTCACACACAACTCACTTCTCGCTTCTCAGTTTCAAGATGAGATGTGTGGTCGCAAGCCTTGACTGACTGACTCCACTCTCAAAAATACTTCGACTGCCATAGTTTGTGGCGAGTTTTGACATTTTCACCATCGGGGTGGTCCAGCCCAGGTTGTCTCCACAACGAAAGCCATGCGAACAACGAAAGGTATGTGGACAGCAAGTCTTTGACTAGGCCATACTGGACCTGGGCCTGGCAACCAGGTCCACCCACCTCCCAAGCAACCGCTGTACACTCCCCGCGACAGGTTCGACCCCATCATGTTCCAGCTCCCCTTCCGGATGAAGAATTCCTCTGCCTTGGTGGACCGGACCCTCAGGGGGCGCGGGGTCTGGGTCTGACCAGAAGGATGGTCCGGGGTCGGACAGGTTTCGGTTTAGGGTTTAGGGTGTTTCAGGTGGGTCACCTCGTGTTGGAGAGGTTTTGAGTTTTGGGGCTGAGGTGTGAGTGTTCAGTTTGGGGGACTGATGTGGGTGGTGCATTTTCAGAGGGAGACCTCCAACCCAACGGGTTTTGCGGCCTTGCTTCTTGTCAAGGCCTGTAGGATGTTGTAGGCCCACAGCCCCTCCCCCAGTTTCACGTCAGGGATTGGAATTCGGAAGGCTTAAATGAAGCACCTGGAGGGCAGCTCTTGAAAAGACCCGGGGAGAGCAAGCACGCTTCAATGTGTGTCTGTGTGTGTCCACCTCTGTAACTAAGAGTTTCTGTTTTTCTCAACTTTTAAGTCGCAGGGGGCGTGACGGTCGATTTCCTAGTCACGCCAACGAAGCTAGGGAAATCGACTGGATGGAAGTTTGGACGCAAACTTCTGTACCTGCGCGGATGAAAACTTTTGCACACGCTGTGACTCCACTTTTCCTTTTGTTGTTTCCATGGTGGTTGTTCGCATGATATCCCCCAAAAAAGGTTTCCTTAGCTTTGGTAAAGTGCTAGTGCGTTTGTTAAACAGTTCTGTTCTTCGGACCCTTGCACCTTACCGTTCTTGCAGTAAAGGGCTAATGCAGTAACTAGATGTAACTAGCTTCCGCAGTCAACTGAACAACTCCTTTGTTAAAACACCTTCAAGTGCTCCGACTCTTCACCTTTCGGTTCCATCGCCATTTTTTCTGGGAATTGAGTTAACTGCAAACCAATGTCAGAGTGTGACTCGCTCAGTCGTCCCACTTGGGTGCTGGGTGTGATCCTCCGCAAGGAGGCGCTGTTTTCATTTCGGAAATCGTGCAACTGGACTCCACCGTTCTCCACCTCTCTTTGAATTTTCTTAACCGCTTTTGTTTCACTACTGGATTTACTGAATTTGATGCCGTCGGGCTTACGAAATACTTCCACTTGCATCTCCACTTGCATTTCCATGTGCTGCATTTCCATGTGAGGAATTGAGACCAGTGAAGCTACTGTCCACACTTGCACTTCCACACCCCCCCCCACCTTGCAACCTAATTTGTGTTTCTATCCCACCCGCTATCTAGGGTAACAGAAGGAAATGGTACTCGACACACTTGTGTGTCGGTACCTTTCCTTCTGTCTATCCTTTTCTACTCCTAGCTACCCGGGCGGTTTAAGACGTATGTCCCGCTCGCTAACTACTGCATTTAATTCATTCGGCTAAGTAGTCAGTAACTAGCAGGTTTCGTAGCTAGTGGGCCTTGTCACTACACCTATCTTTCTCTCTTTCCTTTGCGTTTTCCTTTCTGTCTTTCTTTCCTTTCGTTCTAAGGCTTTTTAGGTGACAGTAAGTTCCCCCAGAGCGCCGATATCTGCGTTCTGTGTGTGTCCACCTCTGTAACTAAGAGTTTCTGTTTTTCTCAACGTTTAAGTCGCAGGGGGCGTGGCGGTCGATTTCCTAGTCACGCCAACGAAGCTAGGGAAATCGACTGGATGGAAGTTTGGACGCAAACTTCTGTACCTGCGCGGATGAAAACTTTTGCACACGCTGTGACTCCACTTTTCCTTTTGTTGTTTCCATGGTGGTTGTTCGCATGATATCCCCCAAAAAAGGTTTCCTTAGCTTTGGTAAAGTGCTAGTGCGTTTGTTAAACAGTTCTGTTCTTCGGACCCTTGCACCTTACCGTTCTTGCAGTAAAGGGCTAATGCAGTAACTAGATGTAACTAGCTTCCGCAGTCAACTGAACAACTCCTTTGTTAAAACACCTTCAAGTGCTCCGACTCTTTCACCTTTCGGTTCCATCGCCATTTTTTCTGGGAATTGAGTTAATTGCAAACCAATGTCAGAGTGTGGGTCAGTATCTCCATCCTTAGGATAGAGATACTGCCAAAGACGAAGCCCCTTGGTGAAGGGAATTACAATTCTCCAAGAAAGGACCCAGGAGCGCCTTGAGGCATGTGCTTGGCCATTGCATCACAATATAGAACCTGACATCCCAAACTCTTGTCCATCAATGAATCAAGTCAGCCGTCAGCCCCTTCTCGTCACAGGACACCCCACGGCAAAGGCTTCTTGGACTCTCGCACCGAAGTAATGGCCCTGCAATGCCAATTAGACCTCGCTGATCCTCTAATTCACTCCAAGAGTCACAGAATCGGCCAGCTAAGGTGCTACCAAATCGAATGCAGTCCACTTGCAAGCATGAGCGGACACAAACGTGTCCAAAGCATATCGTTCGCAACCTGCTTCAGGACATTCCAGAACTTGGCTCCATCATCAAGGTCCTTTGGAAGTGACGACATCATGTGGAACACCATGATCATCCATGATCCAACAAGGCCGAGCTGATCACATCATCAAGCGCTCCTGCCAACTTGGCCCCTCCTTTCAACCAGTCCACAGCCGGTTTCAGAGATGACTTCACCCTTTGGGATGGACTCAACAGCACAAAACAGGATCCAACACCGATGCCCCACAAAGACACAGGATCCCACGGCAGAGGTGTCGATTCTGAGCATGGATACTGAATCCCAACTGGCCGATAGAGCAACATCTTTCGTGAGAGCAACCACCTTTGCTTTCGACTTGCCAGAGGATCTCACCCAGCTTGTGGCACATTCAGTTGCTGGGTTCGCTGCCATAACTGGCCCTGACTTGCCATGGCCTCCGGTTCATGCACTGTCCTTAGTCCCGCCTCCAAGACGGTGTGGGAGTGAAGATCTTGCCTCCCTCCTCCCGGGAAGGCAGAAGATGGCGACTCAAAATGTCTAAGGCATCCTTGGACGGAATGTATCCTATATTCCAATAGCTGGCGTCAGAAGCAAGCGTTCCCTCAGGTGGACCAACGGAAGGCTGGAAACCATGCCAAGCCTAACTGACGCCGAACTGCACTGACATCGAGTTCTCCCTCCCGTTGCAACGAACGCAGCCTCAGCTTCCAACAAGAACAAAGTCTGGTGCTTGACAATGCCAGGCACATTCTGGTGCTCCGAGCAAGTGCCAAACTGAGGACGGCCAAGAACGAATCAAGAGGCAACACTTCAACCCAAGCATGTGTCCACCGCGCAAAAGACAGCGCAGCAAGAAACGCACCTGTCTACCCTGATACCATCAGACGCGTTGGTTTCCTGGCGAAATGATAGTCTAGCATGCCAAGCCCACCTGGAAAACCACTCGAAGAAATTCACCAAACGATGGCTCCAAGGCTACGTCATTCCACCGCCGCATCGCCAGCCTTCCCAAAGATCACTTCAGCTCTTTCTCCTCGATGCCCATGGCGAAAGGGGAGGAGAAAGACCGCTCTTGTTGGCCATCAGGCCGCGGACCAGCTCGGAAGGTGCCAACTCGACTGCTTCCAACCAGTGGATCTATGTCCCGAACCTTCCAGAGCGTCGTTGCCATCGGAGGTCTCGCTATTCTATAGTACATACCCAAATGTGGGTGCCCATGGATGTTTCTTGGAGGTCTTGCTACCCAGCTCTGGCATCCTGCAACGTTCTTTCCCCGCCAAGTCATTTGTTTGGATCCAGTGCTGTAGTGTGACGAATGATCCAGTCCCAAACCAACTACAGGGCCCAGCCCTGAGTCCCCCTGCTCAAGTCCCACCTGAGCGGGGGGCAGCGAAGCAATCGATGCCAGCGATCGTGCCAGCGATCGCTGAGGGATCGCTGGAAAGCGCAAGAGTGCTTGCTCTGGCCTTCAAGTTTGGTGATTAGTTGGGTGTGTTCTTCAAGTTTGGTGATTGGTTAAGTGCTTTGGTCTTTAAATTCGGTAATTGGTTGGGTGAATTGGTCTTCAAGTTCAGTACTTGTTTGGGTGCTCTGGCCTGGTCGTTTGTTTCGAGTACTTTGTACGCATCCAACATCCTGGAGCCGGCTTCGGTTTTGGGGTGGTGGTTCTTGGGGAAAAGGACTTCGCACCGCCGAGGCCAACAATGTAGAGTTGACCTTGGACAAAGACTCTCGAGGCTTTTTCACCAAGACGTCGAGTCCGGACGCGGCTGGGGGGCGTGCGTTTGATCGGTGGTGGCATAAAAAGGGACGCATGCTTTTAGTTGACCCCCCAAATAGATAGAAGTTCGTAAATCTTCACTGGAACAAAGGTATTGGACACCTTTTTCCACATCGTGTCGCTATCTATTTGGGGACCACTATATAAATATACTAATATGTATGTCCCTCATATGGAGGTTTTACAATTCATGTTTGGCGGGGGGTATTACGACGAGTCTACAGACGAATCCAAGGAGGCATAGACGGCATCATGGCAAGCACAAGATTGCGCAGAAGCAAACAGGGATACCCCAACATCATTGCCAACATTGATAACTCGTTCTTGGGATCCCTATCTTTGACCCCAGCATTTCATGTACCAATTCCCACGTCAAAACCAGCACTGATTGATGGTGCTGGGGAAAGGAATCAGAAACAAACTCCACAAACATCTTCTTCTACAGACCATCAATGACCCCATATCATCCACGACGCATTCCTCTCAAGGATTCCCGCACATGGCCCAAGATTTTGGTATGTTTGGGTCAGTAACTTTGTTGCAAAGCCTAAACCCTAAAAAGCACCTTTTGGGGTTCGACCTTGTTGCACTCTCCGTCCGTACGAGCCGGATGTCCAGGCGAAGAGGCATTGGAGGCGCGGTTTGCCCGACGGGTCGTACGCGGGGTGTCGGACGGAGGTTGGGGAGGAGGGCGAAGCCCGGTCCAGCGCCAGGGTGACAGAGTGGGAATGACCTATATCAAGGTTTTAATATTAGGCAATATTAAGCGTTTTTTGGCCCGAGTAGTACGAAAAGAGCAAACCATAGAACTTGGGGAAATTCATCGCATGCAACATCCTCAACGGTAAGCAATTTGTACCCAACACCTTTGGCGGTGAAAGACGTGAAAACGCCAGATTCGTCAAACACTATGGCATAATCCAGCCAAGCTTCAGCCTTTTGTAAGAACAGGTTAACAAGCAGGAACTTGTGGATTGACCAAAATCCAAGTTTTGTTTCGGATTCCCAAGGAGTATATATATATATATATCATGCAGAGTTAGTCACTCAACTTGAAAGAGCTGTACTCACCGGATCGGATGCTTCAACAATCTTAGGCTTAGAGCTTGATGAGCTTGATGAAGAGTCCGCGTTCCAAGGACCCATCCGGAGCGGTACCGGTGTCAGGAGCCCGAGGATGTCATGGTGAAGCTGAAGCTCTCGGGCTTCATGGCCGGGAGTCCCAAGTGTTTCTCTCCTTTGGCGACAGAGCCGGGAGGAAGACATCTCGGTGCGGTGATGAGATGAAAAAGCAAAGCCCTGTGGCCATTGTGGCCTGTTTCAATGTTCTGCCACGCTGTTGGAAAATCCTAGCCCGGCGAAAAAAAGAAAAATATGGTTGAAGAGAAAGGCTGCCATGTTGACCGACTGCATGGTTTGCGTGGTCCACTGTGGACCCTGTGCGTCCCCAAGTCAAATGAAGACTGAGTCGGCAGAACCATGGAATTGCCGCCCAAAGCACATTGGAAGATACATCACAAATAATGGCCTTATGGGTACATAGGGCTTCCAAGGGTGTCCAATAGAGACCAACGGTGTTGGGTTGTCCATTATGGCAGACCGATTGGACAGCCACTTTGGTAGAGGATTCCTCCTGTTCGACATCTCACCAAAGGCCAGGGGTGTTCGAGATACCACCCACCTTGATCGTTCCTCCAACTTGCATGGGTTTCATCTAGACTTCATTTGGTTGAAATCTTCAAGGATGGCAGAGGTCGTTTATCGTGTCATCAAAGCTTTGGAGTTGTGCCTCCTCACCACCTCCGAGACTGCCTAACTGACCTGCCGCGACCACCTGCTTCGTTGAAACCGACTGACACCGGCGAGGTGAAGAAAATGACCCCCTCCAAGCCGCACAAGATCAAAGAGTTGGAGGAGCGAGCCAAGGTGATCCCCGGCCTGTTTGGAGCAGCCACTGTCCAACCACGGCTGTCCACGACCGATGTTCGGGGCTCTCAGGGTTTTAAACATATTTAAACCCGCAAAACATGAATTCTTTCGATTTGAGGGTCCGGATTCTTAGGGCGATGCTGAGTTTCCCAAACCTACATGTGGGAAGATCAGAATCTGCAAGTCTTATGCAGTTGCAACTGACACTTTTCCAGTATGTAACTGGGTCTTGAATATGTTGAATCTATGTGTTCCTGCGCCACCCTCCTCGCAGCTTTTCTCCCCACAGCGACACAGGTGCAGCACAGTTTCATGTGCGTAGACATCTATAAGAGAAAGCTCATCGGTCCAAAAGACGGACCTGAGCCTTCACCCCAAAGCACTTTCAAAATCACATACCCCAAGACTCTAAGTAGCGTTTCACCGTGGGATGATCACGTGGGGCTGACTGAAGAATCCACCTCAGAGAATGGTGAACCAGTCAGCGGTAGCCACTAGTCAGAAAAGAAGCAGTAATAGCCACTACGACTAGTCGGAATAGAAACCAAAGTAGTCACTAAGTAGTCATTAAGCAGTAGTTCATGTCGCGGTGCTCTTTCCTGGCGTTGGTGGCATCCTGCTGGGCCTCTTTCGGTCCCTTGCCAGCGGTTTTGGCTTTATGATGGGCTGCTGAGTAAACCTGAGGCAAAGGCACTACAATACTATACAAGGGGTTTGAAAAGTCCCAAGTACTCAAAAACAGTCATTGATAAAGTGCACAAAAAAGTTTTTTGATCTATTTGAATCCCAATCACTGCATGCATTTTCCTTTCCACGTCATCTTTTGGCGTTGGTTTGCGGGCCATGCGCTTTGGGGACACCTTAGCCTTAGCCTTTGCTGCAGCCTTTGCTAGTGCACCCCTCTTAGGAGTAACCATTGCTTTTGCTTTGCATTTTGCATTTGCTTTGGGAAGCGGAGATCGTCCAGTAGGGCAATGTTTGGGCATTGCCCTCTTGGGTGTGGCTTTTGGCTTGGGCTGCGGTGGTGAGTCAGCACCTGGGGTATCAGCGGTATCAGCAGCTTCATCATTCTTGATGCTTACCGGAGTTGCAGTCCCATCAGTAGTTTCATTGGATGCGGGAGCTGCATGCCCAGTTCCATCACCAGCTTCATCATGATGGGCCGACTCCTCCAAGGGAGTCTCCTGAAACACGGGGGGTGTAGCTGCACATGGTTTACTGTAACTACCTTACTATGATGTGTGGCTACCGCTGCCAAGGCAAAACTACGATGCAGCCAGTCCTGAGCTACCTCGGCCTCTTCCAGGAGCCCATCCAAGTTCTCACTGGCCAAACTCCGGAAGAGGGGCGGCTTTGTCTCCTGTTGTGGCGGATATGTTACATTATATAACCAACCCTTGGTTCAACCCCAAAACACCTAAAGCAGCAAGTTGATTCTCCTGCTCTGGCTTCGTGCCATCAATTTCATCGGCTCGATCAGTGTGATCGATTGGATCACTAGGAGAGTCCTGACACAGCAGCTTTTGGTCGGATCAAACACCCTGTAGCAAGAAGTGTCGACCCCTTCCCTTTGATCAACATATCAAAATGAAGTCATGGATTGAAGAGCGGAAAGGTGGAATGGTTGTCACATATCTTTGGGGTGGTCATTTTCCACATCTATATGAATGAGGTGTGGCTTTACGGGCTATCATGCACTGGTTTGCTGTTTGCCAGGCAAGGTTTTAAATGTTCATGTGTGGTTTCATGTGGATGATGCAGTCCCATGCCACCACAAAGGGTGTAAGTTACAGTATGTGTAAATGCTTTTGTGTGTCATCTACCAATCACAGTATACATACCTATATGTAATATACACTTTGGGTTCAGAACTCTGAGTTACAAATCATCACCGTATCGCCATTCAAGATGAAAGGCATCCTTCTCCAAAAATGAACTGATGCCTGATATGTATAATGTATATATATATATATCCTTGTGCCACCTCATGCACACTAGATTTCAAAATGTATGTTTTGCAAGCACCCCCAAATCAAATCATCTTGTCCTTGTACTCGGGCAAGCCCATTTGGTTGTCCGGATGCTCCAAGCTGAAGGTAGTGGCAGGCCAAGCATGTTGCCGACTGATAAAAGTTATGCCATTGTTTACAAAGAACATCACCACTTTTGGGTCAAGTGGCATTGAGGAATTGTTCAGCTCGACCATGTTGTTCGTGGGGTGAGATAGTTCCAAATGCTGCGACCTTGGAAAATGAGAGATGGGGTAACTTTCGGCTAGTTAGGGGCGCAGGTTCCAAGGTACCTGTAGGTAGCATAGTCTTGTTTTTGCTCGATCATATACGCAAAGGGTTCCATCGGCACCTGTGCCATGTGATGGTGAGGAAATTGGTACACATGTTTTTCTTGAACATGCATTATTCACAGAGACATGCCCCAAGACAAGTAATCTGGAACCCGCCCCAAGACAAGCCTCATCACCACCATCACCACGCTTTGATGCTGGTCGCTTCGCAGACTTGGTGCCACCCCCCTTGGAAGCAGCAGGCCTTTTCTTACTACTCTTGTTTTGGTCATCATCCGAAAAAAAGATCATCAAGACCACAAAGGCCACCAAACATGTCATCATCTTCATTGTTGTCGTCATCCTCGCCACCACCGAGAGGGTTGTTGGTATGGTCAGCCCCATCGTCATCATCATCATCATCATTGTTCTTCTTTTTCTGTTTCTTGGCTTTACTGTCTTTCCCTTTTGGATTCTTATCTTTCCCTTTATCTTTTTTGTCTGTCTTCTTTTTCTCATCTTTCTTGCCCCCTCCGCCCGGCGGTGAGGACTCTTCAGATGACTGGAACCTTTCAGGCAGGATCTCTCCAACCGAAGCATGGGCTGCACCTCGGGTGACATGAAGACTGCAATTTGCCAAAACGTAATCAGAAAACTGTTTGATGCAAGATGAGACATGGCACTGGAAGAAGCCATAGGGGGACGGACTGACGCGGATGTGGTAGATGGTGCAGACCCAGAACGGTTGCCCGTTCCAATAATCTGATTCAAATCAAAAGCCTCAGCTGAATATCAGAGTCATCGTAACAGGGTACCCCAAAGATTGCAAATGAAACTGCAAAATAGCACTGCCTGAATCGATCAACTTTCAATGGTATGGTCAACACCTTCAAACCCAATCCTTCAAACAGTCAGTTTGTCCATTGTGCCTGACCACTTCCCAATATGCGACTGCAACTGAGGGGCTGGGGCCCGAAAGGTACTAGACGGGGGGACGATCACCACATCCGAGTCATCGCTTGGAACTTTTTTCAAAGCTCTGCGATTCGACATGACCGCCGCCAGGTGGATTTACTACTCACCCTTTGAAAGCTACTTTCTCCTAAGCCACCAAAACAGTATGGCAGATACTAGATACATATGGCATCCCATGCAGAAATCCATACCCAAACAGTGCAGCTGCAGGTGACATCAAAGATTCCGGGTTGAAGATGCCGCTAGACCATGAGTCAGAGGATACCACCATTCCCGATGGACACGGGAGAGCCTTTTGTAGCCTTTTGCTGGCAGAGGTGGCTGGATTGTTTCTAAGACTGTTCCCAGGCCTAGATATCACTCAATTTGTTTTT